GCAGCCCCGGGGGGGGTGGGCCCGCCGGGGGGGAGGGGGGGGAGGTCCCTGCCGACAGCCGTACCGGTTTGTCCTTGCGGGAGGAGGGGCGGGTAAATTAGCTGATCGGAGAGTGAAGGAGAACTCTTCATGGTACACGGTACTTAGCGGTGCTCATTAATTTACACTAGCAAGGAATGAGCTAAAACTGCAGTGTAGCAAGACAGTGCAATGCCGTGTGAGTCAAAAACATACCGATAAACATACAATCATAGAACTGTGTGGGTTGGAAGGGACCTCAATGATCATCTGGTTCCAGCCCCTGCCATGGGCCGGGCCACCTTCCACTAGACCAGGTTGCTCAAAGCCCCATCCAACCTGGCCTTCCCTGCCTCCTAAGTGCGTGCTTTTCTTTATTCACTGACTTTTGACAAGTAATTGGAATATATTAGTATTTTGTTTAGATAGGAGAAGTCTAATTATGGCATTTGTTTACATTGAAGGGTCCTTATGTCTCAAGATTCATAGTAGTGTAATTATATTTGGCTGTTGTTTTGGTTTTGTTTTTTTCTTTTTACTTAGGGTCAAAGTCAGAGTGGTGGACATGGTCCTGGTGGTGGCAAGAAGGATGACAAGGTAACTAAAACCAAATGTTTTTGCTTGTAGGATGAACTGCAGGTGTGCTAGTACAGAGGCTGGCTGCAACAGACTTTATCTTACAGGGTTTTTTCATTCTTGTACTCAGAACTGCATAAAATTACACTCTTGCTAGTTTTGATGAAATGTTTTCTCTCTTCTGGGTGCACACTGGAGAAAACGGGTTGCTGTTCAAAAATATAAAAGGGGGCTTAACTGTAATGGAATGCTGAAATTATTTGGCAGTGGTAATTTATTTTTAAAAAGAATAAAACTATATCTGGGTTAGGAAAGAGTAGTTGCCTTTAAGCTGTCACTTAAATAACTGGTTTTGGTTTGAAAATGACATTATGCTGTTATCTGCATGAGGTCTGTACTTCATGTCGTGGATCCTTAGAGACCTTTCCAGTTTTCTTTGGAGATGGAAGTATAATGTACATGGCAAGCTGTGTCTAAGCTGGCACACTGCATGCATGTTCCCTGTTGATTTAAAATGCAATAGAAATGTTCAGATTCAGCATTTTCCTCATCCTTTCATGTATGAATTTTGTTTGTGATTTACTTCAGGCTTCAGCCTTCTATGCTCTATATTCACTGGAAATTGGCAGAAATCTAAATAAAAAGGGATGTAAAATAAGCAGGATAAGAAATTTTTGAACTTTCTTAAAAAATATGAAGAATATTCCTTTGGGGCTTCTCGCTATTTATCATACAGGAGACAATTTTGTTGTGTAGCCATTCATCTTAAGTTGAGCAGCTCTCTCTGTCTGTGTGCCTAACATCTCTGTGTATTTTTTTCATTGTTAATATCCTGATTTATTTTTTTTTCCCATGGAATTCTTTTCATGAATAAGGATAAGAAGAAGAAATATGAACCTCCAGTTCCAACCAGAGTGGGGAAAAAGAAGAAGAAAACAAAGGGACCAGATGCTGCCAGCAAACTCCCCCTGGGTAAGCATTCTGCCTGCCCCGGCAGTCCTGTGGACTGTCCGCTCTTCAAGAAGTGCAGAGCCCTCCTCTCCCCTGGATATGGCTGTACGTAGGTCGCAAATGATTAAACAGAAGGCCAAATGTAATTTTATTTCTAGGTAACGTAAAAATACAAAATAAGACTATCGTTATGCAAGATGCAGCCCATGAATTCCTGGGTAAGAGAGAGAGAAATTGAAATGAGGAGGAATGCAGAGGAAACATTATCTTTCAAAATGTTTTTTACCTGGAATTACAGTGCGACAAGTAAAATAGTGTCTGCTGCTCATATAGGAGTTATTGTCAGAAAATAGAGCAGAATTTCTGGTACTGAATTAGTGAATAGTTGGTACCGTGTCAAACTTGGTCTAAAATATTGTGATTCCACTTTGATTACAGTGACTCCTCACACACAGTGCAGGCTCAAATTGCTGAAATTGGAGAGAATTAAAGATTACCTCTTAATGGAGGAAGAATTTATCAGGAATCAAGAACAGATGAAACCTTTGGAAGAAAAACAAGAGGTGAGGTTTGAGTGAACTGTTACTTCTAATATTACAATAAGTGTTCTAATGTAAGCTACTTCATACAAAAGCAATGGAGATAAAGTGCCATGAATGTGTAAGTCAATACAAACGTATTATGTATATTACAATTCTTCATTAAATCTCAATTACTGTCCAGAAAACAGAGGACTTCTTTCTAGTGGTTTAATGGTTTTAGTCCAAGGATGGGTTGCTACAGATGAGGCCACAGTGGTTTTTTGTTTCTTAGTGGTCTGTCAAAGTGCATCTCCCAGATATCCATCAATAAAGAAAGAAAGAATATTCTAGCTATGCATGTCCATATAGTGTCCATCCTAGTGTCCATAGGATAGGACTAAAATAATAGTGGATTTTGTTACTGGCCTATGCTTTTATGCCTTTTGGGGCAGTGAAACAACAATAGCCAAGACTGGTTACGTTATGTTTGGTGTGAGCTGTTGAGCCAGTGTTGTACAAGAATGTTTTTGCCTGGGTTCTTGAGTTGTTTCTGGGATTCTTCTTGACAACAGGAAGAAAGATCCAAGGTGGATGATCTGAGGGGAACACCGATGTCCGTGGGTACCTTGGAGGAGATCATTGATGACAACCACGCTATCGTGTCCACATCAGTAGGATCGGAACACTATGTCAGTATCCTGTCTTTTGTGGACAAGGATCTGCTAGAGCCAGGCTGCTCTGTTTTGCTAAATCATAAGGTGAGTTGTTTTTTATAAAATGAAGCACAAGTTCTTGTCCTGTTCTTAACTGGCCTTTTTTTCTGAGAACACAGGATCATAAGGTCTGAGAGCTAATGCTGTTTATTTCATGCACCTAAACAGATGGGCATTGGGTTTAGGCTTGAGCTTGTATTAATGACTCTGCTTGCTTTCTTTGACAACTCTTAATGCCTGAATTAGGTTCACGCTGTGATAGGAGTCCTGATGGATGACACAGACCCTTTAGTTACTGTGATGAAAGTGGAGAAAGCTCCTCAAGAAACGTATGCTGACATTGGTGGCCTTGACAACCAGATTCAAGAAATCAAGGTACTCACTTGTACTAATTTACACTGTTAAGTAAGCTAGCAGTGTAGCTGTTGTGCTGGGAGCTTGAAAGTGTAACAGCAGGACCAGCTGCTGTGCGTCGTGTTCTTTTGTATCTTGCTAGTGTATTCCTTCATTTGATTTTGGACTCACGGACCCAAATCTCTTAAGTGGGTAGCGTACCCATTCACAAACTGTACGCACAGAAGCCTTTCACAGTTGCTGTGGAATCTGTAGAGGCCTGAGCTCATAAAATCAGTGCAATAACTTATTATTTTGCAACATGTGAAGTTATTGATTGTTGCAAGATGAGAGTTAAATTGTAAAAAGAGCAGAAGTTGGTTTGAGTGTCTGTTGCCGTGCAGTCCAAGGATTTGGTGGGTAGAGGCTTTTTTGGCTTGTTTTGGTTTTGCATTTGTTTAGTTGGGTTTTTTGTGTTTGTTTGTTTTCCTACCAGCAGAGCTCTATCTGAACCCTGGTAAAACTCAACCTTTTTGCTTTGGGTTGGCATCCAAAATCACAAATGCTCTAAAAATATTGATCTGTAGTATCTGGTAACTCATGGTGGAAGGCAGCCTTTCATAAAGGGTCCCCCCGCCCCAAGGTCCTCCACGAGTGTTTGGGAGTCAGTAACTCCTGGGTTCTACACTCCGAACGATGCATTTAGGTTGGTGGATGGGGAACGCTCACTGCTTCTCTTCCACGTGTCAGGTGGAAACAATAGGAAGACCTGTGCAGGTAGAGTAGCTGTCTGCCTTAGAATTGGAGGCGGCAGAGACACGTATTTTTCAAGGTCTGTCTTGAAATTAGTTAAGTTCTTTTCACTTTCGTTGCTTTTATTAATGCTGTTCTCGAGATCTCCACAGAACTTCTGTGGAGAACGCTCGCCCTTTTCATAAAAACTCAGGTTTGTTTTTCTTGTGCTGCAGGAGTCTGTGGAGCTTCCTCTCACCCATCCTGAATATTATGAAGAGATGGGTATAAAGCCACCCAAAGGAGTCATTCTGTATGGCCCACCTGGCACAGGTATCTTACAGTTCAGTAACAACCGTGCTGAGGCAACACACGTAAAGTAAATTATGCTTGCTTAGTATGGAAACATTGCTAAGTCTGTCATAAAATTCATATGACTGTTTTGTTAAAACACTTTTTTTTTCTGACCTGCAGCCTAATTACAGTATTTCTTTCCAACTAAAAATAGGTAAAACTTTACTAGCCAAAGCAGTGGCAAACCAAACTTCAGCAACCTTCCTGAGAGTGGTTGGTTCAGAACTTATACAGAAATACTTGGGCGACGGTCCAAAGCTCGTGCGCGAACTGTTCCGTGTGGCTGAAGAGCATGCGCCCTCGATTGTCTTCATTGATGAAATTGATGCCATTGGTACAAAGAGGTGCGGTATTCCAGCTCCCGCTTCACACACACGTATTGCCAGGGACGATAAAAGGTTTACTAGAAACACTTCTTTTGCAACCATACTGATATTCAGTTTCTTAGCTCTGCTGCCATTTTCGTCATACTCTTTTTGATACAAGCATTTTTAACAAGTAAAACTTAAATGACTTATTTGAAACTAAAATATCTCACAGCCTTTTCGTATTAAATAGATACGACTGGAGACTTAACCTCTGTTCTCTTGCTACCTGGTAGCATCTCTACTACAGTGTCTTAAACAGAGACACTGTGCGTAAGTCCGTGTGGTATCCTCTAAGCGCAAACCCAAGTCTACAGTAATTGGCTTTCATGATTTAACAGTAAAGCAGTGTGCTTAATACAGAATATACCCATTTATTGTTTGCCTCTCTAGGTAGGTGGCTAAATACATATGTTCTTAGAATAGTATATGGTAAGTTAGAGTGTGATGTCATGGAGAAGCATTGCTCATGCCACACTGAACTATTGTGCAGCCTGTATCCAAGTTGTATTACTTTGAAAACTCCATAGGCTGGTTGGAACTGTCTGATACAAATAGTCTTCATAGTAGTCAAATGTTTAAAAAAAAAAAAAAAACAAAAACCAAAAAAACAAACAAATAAAAAGCTGCCCATACGTATTACTACACAGCTGCCGGCCTGAAGCCCCAGTATCAGGCAGCTTCTGCCCCATGTACCTCAGCATACATAGAAAGGATTGGACTGATGGTGAAGTGCAGAACATGCGGAATTCTTCGTAAATGTTACGTTGCTTCAGACTGCTCCTAAACATGGGTGAGCTGTTTTGGATGTAGGTTATCTGGTCTGATGTTAGCAAAAGGAAATGGCTAAGCTACTGAGCAGGGAAACGCAGCCACTGGTGCCTGTGTTTCGGGAAGAGCAGAGTTAAACCAGGATCCGCGTTAGTAAGGCTGAAGGGCGTGTGCCTGTGGAAAAACTCTGAAATGCAAAAGTGAGTGACCAGCTGTATTTCCTATGAAGTGGATGCATGTGCTTTTAAGATTTAGGGGGTTTTCCTTTTTTACGTTCATTTGTTTGTTTTGTTAGGGGGGAAAAAGATTTCCAAATGCACAACAAACATGGAAAAAGGACACATTTCCTTCACATGATTGCTGTTACTTTCCCCAGCTACAAGAATAGTTCAGTGTCTCTTTGCTTACCTAGACGTCACAATATGATTCTGAGAACCCGCTTGTTTTCTATGGGTGAACATTAAATAAAAAAAAATCTGTTATGGGTATAAAAAAAAAACAAAAAACCACAACAAAAATCCCCCCCAAAAAAACCCCACCAAAACAACCAACCACACACTATTTTGTTTATACGTTTGTGGCAGTTATGTGAAGTATGTTCTTAAATTTGCATAGTGCTTTTTCTGACTACGTTGTTTTCTTAAAGGTATGACTCAAATTCAGGTGGTGAGCGAGAGATCCAGCGTACAATGCTGGAGCTGCTGAAACAGCTGGATGTTTGACTCT